TAAAAAGAGTTACTGCTGTTGCTATTTTCCTCCCAGCAGCTAGGTCTGTAACTTACCATTTCCTCAGCTCTTTCCAAAGCTTGGTGCAGCCCCCAGCCTCTGCTACTTTATAATAATGCTCATATTTTCGCTAGTGATCTGTTAGTATACATATTTTAGGCTCCTAAAACCAACATCCTAAAATATGTATATTTTCAGGTTATGGCAAAAATAGTACAATTCATATCAAACAGAAAATAAAAACTGTGTATAATGTTTTAAGGGATAAAACACACCATAGTTGGTCCTTTTTGAAATTTGATATTGTTAGAATTTCTTACCTATCGGGACCAGCAGTTAGTGTAATGGCTATGTTGCTGGACTCCCACTTAGTCGACTGTGGTTCGAGTCCCGGACCCGGTGGCTTAAACTCACGCTGGTCGCATATGCGTGCGTGCCCAAGATTCCGAGAGGAGAATGGAGGAGAAGGGATTGTGGCGTGGTCATCCCCCCTGGGGAGTAATTTCTTGCTTTCTGTCACTCTGACTCTCTCTGTCTGTCTGACAAGCGCACGCACCCTATAGCAAAAACGTCTCAAAAAAAAAAAAAAAAAAAAGAATTTCTTACCTATCCTGATTTCTAGTGAGATTTTTGTCCAGATGTCTTTGGAATTGAAATAATTGGCTTCTTGTTAAGTTGAGAATAACCTGTAACAACCTACCAAGTCTGGTCTTTCGTTTTAGAGGGCTCTGAAAGAAAAATGAGCTGCTCAGTGGTGTCCTGATGTGAAGACGTGCATCTGTGAGTCACCATTTATATTTACCAGCCAGAATCGCTGGGATTAAATGAGATGACTCATGTTGAAAAGTCAGGGTCTGGCTCATTAGTTCTTCATGCTCACATGTATTAGTATTTAGAACACTGAATCCAGTTTTATAAGAAAACCAAGATCCCCAAGAGAGTAATGTATACAACTTATTTTTACTGGATAGTTGGAAAAGTCATGATGCATTTTTGCATAGAAAAACTTACACAAAAATACCATGACTTTTCTGACCACCAAGTAAAATTATTTTTATTTAAGAAAAGAAATTTTGGGACCAGCAGTTAGCGTAATGGCTATGTCACTGGACTCCCACGTAGTTGACTGCGGTTCACATCCTGGATCCGGTGGCTTAAAATTCACGCCAGGCACGTGTGTGTGCGTGTCCAAGGTCCCAAGAGCAGAATGGAGGAGAAGGGATTGTGGTGTGGCCATCCCCCCGGGGGGTGATTTCTCGCTTTCTGTCCCTCTGTCTCTCTTGTGCGGTCTGGCGAGCGCCCACGCCCTAAAAAAAAAAAAAAAAAAAAAAAAAAAAAAAAATTTGCTATATGGTATGTATGCACACCAGAGAGAAAACATGAGAAAGCACTCCCCAGGGGGGACGGCCATGCCACAGTCCCTTCTCCTTTATTCTCAGAATTTTGGGTATGCCCAACATGGTTTTCAAGTCACTGGGTCCAGGACTCCAACCATGCAATTGGCCATGTGGGATCCAGCACCTCAACCTCCATGCCACCAGCTGGCCCTGTAATTATTTTTGAAAAATAAATGTTTCAAATATACCACGTTTATGGTAAATAGTAATGTACTGAAATATACTATACAGGGTTAAAATGTTAATATTTTGTCTAAATTTTTGTTAATAATTCATCCTAAATTGTTTTCATTAAAAAAAAAATCAAATCTTACAAATGAGAAAACACTTCCTTCCCCCATCACATCTCGGTCCCTTATTCTACCTTTGAGGTGGCATACATGGTTTCATCAGTGTTTTGAACTCTGTGTATCTGTGTGTTCATCAAGAATACAGAGTGTTGTGGTGTAATAATATTTTAGAGGGCCAGACAGTGGTGCAGCAGTGATGCAACTGGACCCGTACGGGGTGGTCCTGGTTCATGTTCCCAGACCTTCCAGTGCATGCAGGGCACATGCATGCATACCTGCCAGCTGGGCTGGCTGCGGCTGTGGATGTACTGTGGTATGAGGATGCTACTGCGGGTGCCTGTCTCTGTTTTTCTCTCTCATGGAAGAAAAAGTAAATCAGCTTTAAAAAAATGATGTAATCTGGGGACCAGCAGGTGGCATAATGGTTACGTCACTGGATTCCCATGTGGTTGATTGTGGTTCAAGTCCTGGACCTGGTGGCTTATAACTCATGCCGGGCATGTATGCATGGGTGCCCAAGATCCTGAGGGAAGAATGGAGAAGGGATTGCGGCATGGCCATCTCCTTTGGGGGATGATCTCTCACTTTTTGTCTCTCCAGTAAGCACACATGCCTTATAACAAAAATCTCTCTAAAAAAATGATGTAAAAATATAATAATATAGTGGATCCTTTGGTAGTCCATGTTTTCCACTCATTTTGAGATTTATCTGTGTTGATGCTTCTAGAACTAGTTCCTTTTAGCTACTGTATAGGATTTATTGTATGAAATATGCCATAATTTATTTAGATACTTTATATAGGTCAAACATTCCTAATCTGAAAATCTTAAATCTAAAATACTCCAAAAATCGGAAACTTTCCAAGCACTGATATGACACCACAAGTGGACAATTTTAAAGCTGATCTCATGTGGTGAGCCATAATCAAAACACCGTATTATAAAAATATAGTATAAAATTACCATTAGGCTATGCATGTATGGTGTATTTCATGTTTAGACTTGGATCTCATCACCAAGATATTTTGCTATGTTTATGCAAATATTCTTTTTTTTTTGAGAAGTTTTTGCTACAGGGCACATGCACTCACAGAAAGACAGAGAGACAGAGAGACAGAAAGTGAGAAATCACCCTCCAGGGGGGATGGTCATGCTGCAATCTTTACTCCTCCATTCTCCTCTTGGGATCTTGGGCACACATGCACATGTGCCCGGCGTGAGTGTAAGCCACCAGGTTTGGGACTTGAACTGCCGTCAACTACATGGTCGTCCAGTGACGTAGCCATTACTCCACCTACTGGTCCACAATGAAAATATTCTAAAATCCAAAGATGTCTGAAATCTAAAACATTTCTTTTTGGTCCCAAACATTTTGAATAAGGACTATTCAACCTGTATATGTTATTTAAATTGTCATGAAACACTCTGAGGTAACTACTTTTGACTCAGTTTCAAAGCATGTTTTCAAAACCAGGCTTATCCAATTTCATCATGCTTTCTATAAATATCTGGAACATAAAGTTGGGGGAAAAAAGCTTGCAGTAGGCCCGGTAGCATCTCTCCGGCATTTCAGGTAAAGGACACTGTTGTTTAGATGTCTTGCTGGCCTGGGACAGGCAGGACCAGGGAAACCCTGTCTTTTTCAATGGAGCTGCAATGCTGGGGGGCCTGAGGATTTCAGAGAGCAGTTTGTTGACTACTTGGGTTGCTGACTCAAGAGGAATAAATGCAAGATCCTTTCTGTTTGAACAACCAATATAGTGAATCAATGACATATTTGAGGTCTTAAAGGCACTGAGATACAGGGAGAGGTTGAAACTCCCTATAGGTGCATGTGCACTCATACCCAAAATCCCAAGAGGAGAATGGAGGAGAAAGGACTGTGGCATGGCCATCCCTCCTTGGGTGTGATTTCTCACTTCTCTCTGTCTCTCAGGCAAACACATACACCCTATAGCAAAAATCTCTTTCTCAAAACAAATATGTTAAGACCTGGACTCAGCCCTCAAGACATTTGAAGTGTAGCAGGGGAAACAAAGCTAACATGAAACAGAACAACTGCATGTGTTATACATAGTACTGTACATACACTTCATTATCTTTTAGAAAAAATGGGATATTCTGTGCTTTCCTCATCATGCTGATTTCTCACTCAACAATACCTATGCAAATCCCTTCAAAGTAACTTGTACAAAACTAATTTATTTTATTTTATTTATTATTATTACCATAATCTTTATATTACATTGAATCACATATATCTTTACAGTGTATTACATTTCTTTTTTCCAGAAGGAATACCATGCATATCAGTCAAGACAAATATATTACTATTTACATCATCATCATCATCAAATAGCTTTTCATATTTTTTCCAGATTATGATTATTATTTTTATCCTCATTATTTTTTTAAACACTCAATCACTATATACAATTTTGCTTGTAAAAATACAGAACTAATTTATTTTTAAAAGGCATATAGTATTCCATGTTATGGATGTATTATAATTTATTTGTTCATTCTCTTATTAATGGGTCATCTTAAGATGTTGTTAACTGCTCTCATCTTTTCTCATCTTTTGCCTGGTTTGTGATTAGTCTTCAGGGTTTTTAAAAAAAATAATTGTTTATTTAATTTTATTTATTTATTCATTTATTTTAATTTGATCAGAGAGTAACAGAGAGAGAGAGAGAGAGAGAGAGAGACAGACAGAGAGAGAGAGAGAGAGAGAAAGTGAGAAAGCAAGCCACCAGATCCAGGACTAACCATGGTCAGCCATGTCAGAGTGTCCAGCGCCTTAACCACCACATCACCTGCTGGTCCTCAGTCTTTGGGTTTTTTCCTTGGTTAGTTAATAAGAGCTGTCTATGTAGAATAGATATCAACTTTCTGTTCTCTATCTGACCAGATACAGTATTTAGAAATATCCGACCAGTTATAGTATTTACCTCTTAGCTTCGTTTACTTCCCTGTTCACTGAAGGATTATAGCAGCAAACTGAGTGTCATAGCTCAAAGAACAATCTAATTAATTTGGCATGTTAGCCTCCTTTGGAAGGGTCCAAGAATGCGGTATGATATCGATGGGTGTGTTCTAATGTTCTTGTCAAAGAATGTGGTAGCTCATTGAATCAGCTGGATATTGTATCCCTTCAGCCTTTTAGATGTTTTTCAGTGAACAAGGAGGTGCATTTACTTCTATGCATGCTTGATGTGCAGAACAGTTTGATCACTTGCAGCTATCAGCTACTCGCTGGTCTCTTTTATATATGGAAATGGGATCCTGAAATCCTGTATCATTCGTCTTTTAGAAATAACACCATGCTCAAAGCCTCATCCACCTGTCGTGGGCAAAGTGACTCATCACAGCATTGAATTATACTGGGATTTGGAAAAGAAAGCTAAACGGCAAGGACCTCAGGAGCAGTGGTTTAGGTTCTCAATCGAAGAAGAAGACCCCAAAGTGCACACTTACGGTATCATTTATACGTAGGTGCAATGTTGAATTACTTACCATTTTGCTTTGATTTCCTGATTAGCTAGAATGATTTCTATTGTTCTTGAAAAGCCACAGCTTGTTTCGAAATTAAAGAAAATAATGAGTTAGCATCATTTGCATTCATGTTCTACTGTGAATTATAATTTTTGGAACATAAGTATCAGCAGTAACTTTGAAATTAAATTTCCTATATCTTTGAGAGCTGCTTTGACTTCTGAAATATCCAAAAGGTATATTTTAAAAACATAAACTGTAGAGACAGAATCAAAAGGTAGTTTGATGAAACCAAATGAGGGTCTCATCAGGATGCTTTGTTCACAGATGTGGGATGGACTTCTACCTGGGCCTGCCCCTGGCCCACTTCTCTAATCTCATGTCACATTGTTTGTCCCCTTGTTAACTCTCTCCAGCCTAACTGGCTACCTTTCTCAGCCTCAACCAGGCCAAACTGCTGCACATGGCCGGTCCTTCCTTGTTGCCTTCCCCTGGTATGTGTTATCTTCTGTTTTGTAAGACTGGTTCCTTCATACCACACAAACCTCAGATCAAACGTCCCCTTCTCAGTCACCATCTGAAGCAGCTGTCCTTCCAACCCAGGAATCCTCTGTCTCAGAACCCTGTTTCATATGCCTCATAGCATTTTGCCTTACTGGAATTAAGTTGTTACTCATTTGCTGGGTCTCCCCACCAGGGTTTAAACTCAATGAGGCAGACAGGGGCTTAACACTCTCTCTCCAGCTCCTAGATGGTTCTGGCTGGTGTATGGCAGGCCCACAAAATATTGGTGTGACTAAATGATTGCAACAGACGTGATGAAGAAGTCAGTTTTTCTTAGTCTTCATATCAACTTGGGCTCATTCGTTTTCCCTGTGGCAGCTTTACCACTTGCAAATGACTATTTCTGTGATTCAGGAATACCAAAAGTGAGAGACCAATGTGGCTTTTAATGAATCTTCTTCTTTCGAGGTCCTTGTAGATTAATTTCCAGTTGTAAGAACTAATTCAGAGATCCTGTGTGCCATTTACGCATTTCCCTCCTGTGCTAGCATGTGGGGAAACTGCAGTGCAGCATCACAGCCAAGACGCTGGCACCGATGCAGTCAAGGTGCAGAAAATTCTCATCACTTTTCTGGCCCCCTTTCAAGGTGGCATTGTGATTAGTCTGCTGAGGTGAGGTTATGGAAATGAAAGTTCCAACTGTTACATGAATAATGATATGTGATATTTAAGGAACATTTCTCTATACCTTAGAAAAGATACATGATCTGAAATGTAGCTACCAAGTGAGAATAATTTCTGCCTTGACTATTTGAAAATGTTATTTTAATCAGGTCATGTACTGCTAGCGGAAGGTAGTTTCCACCTAAAACTTGAGTTGTATTATTAAAAGTATTTCTGTGAAGAAAAAAAAAAATATCCTCCCCCCCCCCCCCCCCCCACCTCACTCCACAAGTGAGAGATGGCGCCATCCTCAATATTCCTTTACTTCCCTCTTGGCTTTTTTCCTTTACTGGGTGGCCAGGTAATTCACCCAGAGAAGCTCCAGCCAGGTGCACAGGCCCGCAGCCTGATATGCCCGATGTGTATATTTGTGTCATGTGCATTCTCCCAGAGATCTGGTTACTGTCAGGTCAGAGAAAGTGCTTGCATGATGGCCTGGCATTGCAGAGCTGGGAGCGATGCTTAGAGACCCCAGCTCTAAGGGTGGTGGGGAAAAGCTGGCATTCCCTCAGAGAATTATACAGCATAAACCTTGACACTAGGTGGCAGAATTGTACTGTATTAATTTTGACCTCTTTTGCTTCATTCTATCACTTTCTCTAGATATTATTATTATTATTATTATTATTATTATTTTTGGAGAGGTTTTTGCTATAGGGTGCATGCGCTTGCCAGACAGACAGAGAGACAGAAACCAAGAAATCACCCCCCGGGGAGCATGGTCACGCCGCAATCCCTTCTCCTCCATTCTCCTCTCGGGATCTTGGGCACGCACGCACACGCGCCCGGCGTGAGTTTTAAGCCACTGGGTCCAGAACACGAACCGCGGTCGACTACGTGGGAGTCCAGTGACATAGCCATTACGCTAACTGCTGGTCCCTCTAGATATTATTAAACTAGCGAATGCCTTTTTTTAGAAAAGTAATTATTTAGAATATCTGCCATTAGGATTATGGATCTAAGAATGTCTTCCTGTCTGGTCTGTTGTGGTTCTCATCAATCACCAGTCAGTCCCGAATCCATAACATTGTCCTGACTTGGACTCATGGCTTCTCAGTCAGTTATCTAGTTTTGTGAGTACCCCGCCCCCAGACCCTTGCAAAATGTCTTCTCTACTTCCTCCCCTTAAGCTGGGTCGCTTCACCCCACCAGAATGTAAGCTCCATTTTCCGCCTAGTTCCTTCACTGATGTGTCCTCAGGCCCTACAACTACCCAGCATATTTGTTGATTGACAGAACTGGCCTTATCACTCTTTTCTTGCCTTCTTTCTCTTCATTCTATCTTGATAGATTAATTTTCTTTTTGTCACATTGTCTTCAGCGAGTCTCTATTGCTTGAAGGATGAAGGTTACACTTCTTATACTATTATAACATTCGATGCCCTTCGGAGTTTGACCATAACCCGCCTTTCTTGTTGCCTCTTGTTTCTGAGCACAAACCTCTCAGCGAGGGCTGCTTATTGTCTTTTGAATATGCCTTAACATTTTTCTGCAATGTGTACTTAGTTGCTTACCCTGTTCAGACAAAATTATCTCCTATTTTTCCTGTCCTATCTTCTGCCCATGTCAGATTCTACCTCTCCGGAGAAGCTCTCCTTACATTTTATTGTTTGTCTCATCAGATTCCTACGATAATTGGTAAACATATACATTTCATTCATACCATCAACATGTATTACAGAATGCATCCTATGTGGCAGGCACTGTCCTTGATCCTGTGGATATAGCACTGAGGACAAACAACTTTCTCTTCATATGAACAAGACAAATAATAAATAAAATACATAAATAAAAATATGTAGCTGGTTAGATGGTGTTGAAGTCTAAGGAGAAACAACATAGGAGAAGTTGGGGGCCTCGGGTAGAGGTGAGGCTGCCTTAACTGAGACAGTAGCTTCTTTTTTTTTTTTTTTTTTTGGGAGGTTTTTTTTTTAGGGGGCGCGGCGCTTGCCAGACAGACAGAGACAGGGAGACAGAAAGCAAGAAATCACCCCCCGGGGGGATGGTCACACCGCAATCCCTTCTCCTCCATTCTCCTTCTGGGATCTTGGGCACGCACGCACACGCACCCGGCGTGAGTTTTAAGCCACCGGGTCCGAGACGCTAACCGCGGTCGACTATGTGGGAGTCCAGTGACGTAGCCATTATGCTAACTGCTGGTTCCCTGAGACGGTAGCTTCTGAGTAAAGACTTGAAGTAAGGGAGGGATGTTTGGAGAAAGAACATTCTAGGCAGAACAAATAGCCAGTGGGTAAACCTTGAGGTGGGAGTGTCCCAAGAACACTGAGGAATGCAAGGCAATGAGAGGTAGCTGCTTGGGACCTGTGGGTTATGAAGAGAACGTTGGTTTTCATTCCAAGAGAAATGGGAAAAACAAAAGGAGATTAAGCTGAGGGGAAGCGTGATCTGGCTGCTGTTTTGTGAAGGTCACTCTGGCTGCTGAGTTGAGATCAGTCTATATGGAGGCAAGGCAACAAGCAGTAGGATGGACGAATCAGAAAGCTTTTGCAACAGTTTAGGTGGAAGGCAATAGAACACATTGAATTCTGGGTATGATTTAAAGATCAATTTTAATAATTTGCCGATGGACCAGATATAGGATATGAAAGGAAGGGGATAGGTAAGAGATATATTTATGTTTCAGCCAAGAAAGGCCAAGACAGGCCAAGAAATTTCTCACACAAAATATCCCTCACGGGTTGGCTATGGCTCCCTTCCACATTGTCTTCTTTCCACAGCCCAGGCTGATGAGGCAACTTCTGCCTGGACATTTGTCAGTCATTGTGGCAGAGAGCATGGTGCACTGCTTCTTGAAGCTTCTACCTAGAATGATAAACTGCACTTTGGGTTATGCTTCATTGTTAAAAGCAATGAAAACATACAGCCATGTCTAAGTCCAACAGGGCAGGTATGTACAATAGAACCCTTGGGAAGGTACCACATATTTGTAGACATTAATTCAGTTTTCTTTTTTTTTTTTTGAGAGGTTTTTGCTATAGGGCACGTGCGCTTGCCAGAAAGAGACAGAGAGACAGAGATAGAATGCAAGAAATCACCCCCTGGGGGGATGGCCACGCCGCATTCCTCAGTCTTCCATTCTCCTCTCAGGATCTTGGCCACACATGCACATGCGCCTGGCATGAGTTTAAGCTACCGGGTCCAGGACTTGAACCACGGCCAGCTACATGGGAGTTCAGAGACATAGCCATTATGCTAACCGCTGGTCCCAATAATTCGGTTTTCTACTGGTAGCATCAAGACTTTTGGCTTGAGCAGTTATAACCACAGAGATGAGGAAGACTGCTTCGTAGAAGTTTGGAACTATCGGACATTCATATAGAGAATTTTAGATTGTTGAAGAATGGCCCAGGGACAGGATCTGGGTTGGAGAAACAAATTTCATAGTCATCAGAATGAGACTGGAGTGAAATGTTGGGGGAGGCAGAATAAAGAGGGAAGAGAAATTTGGTAATTTAGTTTTTGGGTATTGCAATATATCCTTTCTTATGTTTCCTGTTTGCTCAGCTCTTGTATCAAGTGTTTATTGATTACTAACAAAGAAAAGATATGCTCTACATGTTGTATGTTTTCCTCTATTGTGGAAATAGTTCTAAGAGTCTTCCATTCTTTAAGCTACCATGTCTAAGATGTATAGTTGTGCCTCTGCATAGGCTTGGTGAACTGCTTTTGTTAGTTATCCCATGTCTACATTGTAATCCTTGTGGAGTGCCCTAATGGACATTTGTATCCTGGGGCCCCTACTGTGTCTTTGGTACACTCTTCAGAAACTATCCATATTGATGTTGTGAGAGTCTCCAGTGTTCCGTCAATGCACTCAGTAACATTTGTTTTCTAAAACAGTTTTGTTATTTCTCTTTCCAGGGGTTATGAAGGTGCTATTGCTTCAGAGTGATCTTATGATACTTAGCAATATTGGATTTTATTGGGGCACTTTTGGTTTTATTTTGGTCCAAAATTGTGTTAAGTCTTTGATACTTCACATTGAATTCCATTGAGGCTTGGATATTATATTCTTATTAAACTCCCAGAGATCTTTTCAGATGTCATACAATGCTGAGAGCTCAGTTTCTGTGATGTAAATATCTAAGCATTCATAGACATATGATCACTAAATAAAATCCACCTACTTTCTGTCAGGCCGATATATCGTAGTCTTAAAAATTATTATTTTTTAACCTATGCAGGTTTTCTGGGTATTTTTCTAGTTTTTAAAGCTTTCACTTTTATTTAAAATTTTTTCAGCTTCTTTATTTACTTTTTGTTGTTGTTGTTTTTCTAGAGAGATTTTTGCAATAGGGTGCATGCACTAGCTGGAGACAGAGAAATTGAGAAACCACCAATCAGGGGGGATGGCCATGCTGTAATCCCTTCTCCTCCATTCTCCTCTCAAAATTTTGGGCATGCATGTACATGCCCCTAGAGGGAGTTTCAAGTTGTAGGGTCCAGGACCCAAAGTGCAGTCGACCATGTGGGGGTTCAGTGCCTTAATAATGATGCGACCTGCTGGCCCCTATTTATTTACTTTCTTCATGAGTGAGCAAGAGAGTCAGGTAGGGACGAAGAGAGAGCCAGAGAGACAGTACCCCCAGCAGGATCTTGATGCTGTGATCCATCCCCAGCCTCAGCCAGCCCAGCTCATGTGCCCATGTGAGTCCGATGTACTCAGGGAAATCTCTGGACGTGAATTTGGAATATCCTCCCATGTGGATCAGCTTCACAGATTACCGTGTTCACTGCTGTGCCATCATCTGGCCCCTAAAGCTTTTCCTTTTATGGCGAATATGTTTATATCTATTTTTCATGCTTATCTATTTCCTTGGCTTCTTTCTTCTTCTTCTTCTTCCTCTTTCATTCCTTCCTTTTTTTTTTTTTTTTTTTTTTTTGGTAAAACACATACTTTAATTACATTTTTCTATGAACATTTTGAAGTCCTCTCATTTAGGTATTAAAGTAGATTGGGTGTTTCCAACTTTTTTTTCTTCTAAGTTAATCTATTTCTTTCTTCCATGACTAAGGGAGGGAGGAAGAGAGAAGAGAAGAGAGAGGGAGAGAGAGAAGGAGAGAGAGGTAGAAAAAATTCCATGCTGCAATCCACTCCCTCCAACCCCCAGCTTTCAGGCAACCCTGGATCATGGACAAGTGTGTGCCCTACATACTCCAGAAGGTCTCCAGACTTAAACTGAGACTCTTCCCATGTGGGATTGGCTTGTAGAGCATTGCGTTTTACCACCTATCACCATTTCATTTCCTATTTCCTTGGTCTCTTGGTTCCTAACAATGTTGGCATAATTTTTTCATTGTCTTTCTTATGGTTACTTTTTTGTTAATATATGATACATCAATCCATCAGTTATCTATTACTGCATAACAAACTAATCCCAAACTTAGTGGCTTAGAGCAAGAACAGATATATGTTTGCTCGTGACTGACCTATAATTTGGGCAGCATGGGGTCACTTGTCTTTGTTCTATGTGGTCTTGGCTGGTGCAGATCTCCTGGGACTGGAGGAACCAAGTGGGAATACTCATGTGTAGGATGCCTCAGCTGTGAGGGTTGGGTTTCTCTATCTTCTCTGTCTTCATTGTTTGGCATCTTACCTGTCTTGGTAAGACAGGTGGTGCCTTTCTCTCCACCAGAGAAGTTGAACTTCTTTACATGGTGGCTAGCTTCCACGGGAGCCAAAGCAGAAGTTTCAGAGAATCTTCAGACCCAGGCCCAGAGCTGCACAGCATTACTTCTCAAGACCACATTCTGTCCTGTCTAACGGGCGATGAAATAGACCTTAACTCTCTGGGGAGAGGACATGTTCCTACAAAAAGGACTGTTGGAGGTCAACCTGGCTGACATCCTAGCACATGTGACTTCTTTTAGGTGAGGAGAGATGTGCTTCAAGCAAAGATAATATCAATTAAAGGCTGAATCCACCAGCAAAGGACAGGGAAACAGACACATGCTCAGAAGAGCCTTAATTTGGTTAGTCTTTTTCTTGGCTCTGACAGAGCTGCATCGAAGAAGTCATTTACAATGGATTTTGGTGCCTGAAGTAACTTTTGATGCAGAAAAAGGATCACTAAGTGTTCTGTACTTCATTTTACCTGAAAATTTTACATTTTGAATAAGCAATAACAGAGAGACACCAACAGATAATAGGTCTGTGTAAACATTTTCCAGCTTTCAAAAATGGTCCTGTAGATCTTCACATTTCACTGAGGCTGCTCTCTCCAGGACGAACCATATTCTTCCACACCCTGCACTCTTGCCCCAATGAGAACACCACAATCGTGCCTTTCTCGGCTGTTGCCATGTCCTTCTAGTCCAAGGTTCATTTTTCAGAATGTGTGGCGATGTCTGCCTGTTACAGAAGTCCCTCACCATTTCTCTCTTGACATCAGAAAGATCGACCAGAGGACATACTCCTGGAGCCTCCTTCTCTCTGGTGCTCATTACTCGTTTGATGGGTGAGCATGCCATAAGGAACTTAGAAGGCTCTGGGTACTTCCTTGAGACTGATCTGCCTTGTAAACAAGCTCTGAGTTTGTCTTCTAGTCACAAGCTCAGGGCTGTGCCTCCTTCCTCAGGGCAGACACTGCTTATCCACTGAGGTCTGGGACACGGTGGGCAAGGCAGGTTAATTAATGGGTGAGTTGTTAGCATGCTCACCTACCCAGATCTAAAGCCATGTTTTCAATTGATCATTTATCAATCATGATGCTGATCCTACATTGTCATTTCAGCCTGATTTGGCTGTCCCTTCCTGTCTGTCCCTGACTGCTCCTCTTCTTGCCACCTCATTAGCAAGAGAGAGGGTCAACTTGCTTTCAATAGGCTCATTTGGCCCTGAGCTGGTCCAGAGCTACCATCCCCAGCCTGGTCCAGGTTCTTGCAAATAATAGATGCTAGATATGTTTGTTGAGTTACACGGAGTGAAATTAATATATTGGACTGACTCTATGTCCTAGTGGTTAAGAAGGCTGAATTCCACATGGTTGACCTTGTGGTTTGAAACCTGGCCGTGTCAGCTTGAAAACATGCTGGGTACACGTGTCTGAGTGCCCCAGATCACATCAGCATGGAGAGCTGAAGGAGAAAGGAATGACTGTGCCTCATGGTGGGGTTGCTTTCTCACCATCCTTCTCTCTGTCTCTCTGGTTAATGCATACACCCTCCGGCAACAACAACAACGATAACAACAAAAATGATGTATAAATATTTAGGTTGCACAGAAACATTTTTAAATGTCTAGTTGTGAATCCCATAGCTCTGGTCTCTGCAGAAGATGTGCTGTGAATGAAAGAAAAACTAGAAACAGAAAACAAAAATAAACTTGGGTCTGAGGAGCTAGGGAGAGGTTCAGAAGAGAGAAGCACAAGGACTGGATTGTTGTTGACACAGACAAGAAGAAAGAGCTAGAATTAGTATATATACACATATCCTCAAATATCATCTTTGAGGTATGAGGACAGAAAAATATAAATATAGGATTTGAAAAGGGATACATGGAATTTGGTCAGATACCAATAAAGATTTTTGGCAGCAAAAAGAAACTGGGGTTTGGGGCAATATTGGGAAATATATACAACTCTGTTGACTCTGGGAGACCTGATATCCTAGAATGTAGGCCAAGTCGAGCCAGGACCCTGGGATCTGCCTTGCAGGCAGAGGAGTGGGCTCAGCGTCTTCCGAGCAGGCAGGCACACCGCCTAGCAACGTTTCTTGGTGTTCATTTTGCAGGCTCCAAGTGATAAACTCAGTGCTGCTTTCCTCTGGAGGCACGAGGATGTCTGCTGAGAGCCTCTAATCAGATTTCTGCCCTGGAAGTGTCCAGCATCTCATTTCCCACAGACATTCCTCGATGAACTTAACCCTGTGCCATGGTGTTGGAGTTGCTCATTCTGTGCCGCCTTACCCCCCAGTTGTACTGTAACTTGTTCCTGGGCTATAAGCCATCGTGAGTTTACTGCTTCAGGCTCTCTCCCTGCAGTAGCATTTTGCCCTCAGTAGGCCTGCAGCTGCCTGTTAGACAGCCTCCTTCACCCACTCAGAAACCCCTGTGCGTACAATCGCACTGCCTGTTTTATCTTTCAAATGTGAAACTTGGTCAAGTGGAAGATAACGTCTTGGGTTAACATGATTATTTATGCAAAGTACAAAGCTGCATGCCAGCTACATGCCAGGCGCTGGGCTAGGCCTTGTGAGACAGAAAGGCCACATGCTGGGCAGGGGATGGAGTGTGCCATGTGTGACATGTCCTTTGTTGTCAAAGAGCTCAGCAAACCAAGGTCACATCTGTACTGGAAAGAGACAATATTCACAAATCCCTTCTACCGGTTCTTCTCATCATTTATCTGAAAACACTGATTAGATTACCTGGTGTTATCAGCATGTATCTCTCTCCTTTTCTAGGGGATATGCCACAAAGCATGTTGTTGAAGGTCTGGAACCAAGGACACTGTATAGATTTCGACTGAAGGTCACCAGCCCCTCTGGAGAATATGAGTACAGCCCCGTCGTCTCGGTATCCACAACCAGTGAGTATACAAACAGGGCGTACTCATTTATCTGAAGATAAATGAAGGTGACAAGCAATCCAGAGGTAAAAATATCTGCCTTTGACTTGGCCTTACCGGAAGCTGAAACGATTCCTTTTTAAAACACTGATGTTCACTGGCTGGACCTGGCCGTCACGTATAACATCAGGGAAATCGAATTATGCCTTCACAAATGGGGAGAGCTGTTTCTGTGCCAGGACTGTCTTGTTAGTGGACATTTGGCACAATAGGGCGGAGTCACCTTTCTCAGGAAATGGGCCAGAAAGGTGTGGGCTGAGCAAGCACTCCCACACAGAGAGACTGGCTGCGTGTCTGAGCGTCCTTGGTGAGGAGGTTGACTTAGTGTTTCGTCCGTGGAAGACAACCTCAGTGTATGCATCTTGACTTGCCACGTAAATCTGCTCCCTGGCGGAGGCTGAGTGAGAGAGAGTGAACAGTGCTGCTTCTCTTCCCTGAGAACTAGGAGAGGGAGAGTCCCACACAGAGCTGAGGATACAAGAGGCCAGACACACGGCCTCTCTCTAATTTATCTTTGTTCTCAATTTTAAGGCTTCTTCTGAGGCCGGTACTATAGAACTCCTTAAAGGTGTGTGTGTGTGCCTAGTGCCCTCTTTGAACAAGAATGTTGTAAACATTAAAGTTGTCAGAAATTTCTTCATAGGCTGCACATGCATGGCACAAGCCAGACTTTTTTTTTTTTTTCCCCTTTCTGTGGAAAAGAAATCTTCCTTTTGCAAGTTAAGTTCTTTTTCAGTTGTCTCCAATGTGGCATTTGGCTTGTATGTATGTACTTTCTGTGGCTTTTAATTATGTCCTTTAGGCATTTATTCATGAAAAGTTTTGTGTGAACTAAAGGTAATTTAGATTTGGGGTTAGCTTGTAATAACTTCAGTCGTAATAGGGCATTGGGGGATTGGGTCTTCATTTAGCTTAGAGTTGGGTTAAAGCTGAGAGTGGCACCTCTGTGTACATTCCCAAATGATGCTCAGCTAGCCATGAAAAATATAATTTTAGAGGAGACTTTTGAAGTGAAATCGTCAATTACGGAGATGCAGGCCAGGAAAGTGTGTTTGTTTCTTAAACTGGTGCGTTGGAAGTCTTTGCTTTCGTATGGGAGATATTTAGCTCCTAGAGTTCCTAGAGAAAGGAAAGCAGGCGGACCAGCAGAACGTGAGTGAGTTTGTCGTGTGGTGAAGGAAAGCAAAGGGCATGGAGAAGAGGGAACAGGAGAAAACGTTGGTAAAGGAGACTAGTTTTTGAATACAGACTTTCCAGGAGATAGCTGGCCAGGTCACCCTTCAGCTTCCTCCTGTCAGCCTCAGTCACCTGTAGGTCCCAGGCCACCTGCACTCACTGCTTCTGTCTCTCCTCCTTTGATTACCCACTCCCCTGCTCTGCTGGCTGAGCGTATTCCACAGGCAAAACTTGGTGCAGGGAGTGAGGCCTTGTGTAGCTTTCCTCTTCTCTGCCATGTGTAGGCCCCCCCCACCCCTCCGCCAGTACAGAACACTGTTTCATCACCTTCTTGCATCTCATGTTACATAATTTTCTCCCTTTTTTGTCTCTCATTTACATTGTGGGCTCTTGAAGAGTGGGGGTGAGGGGTTGGCCATATTCAGCTTGTAGAGGATCCTTAATAAATGGATGAATAGATGATGAATTAAGGCCCAGAGGTAGAATGAAGAGTGTAAAGAAAAGCACTGATTTTTTCAGTTTGCACTCACAGCTCTTGGAGGATGGATCCATTTCCCACCGGCCCAGGAAAGTCCTCCTGAACCTGCCAGGTGAGGGCAAACATGGTTGGCTCTGTGACCAACCACGGTGGGGTTCAGGTGACTACTAGTGTCCTCTTCACAGCACAACCAAGCGAAAGCAAGGGCTTCTAGATCTTCTGATCAGTTTACATGGGACTGTGCCATTTGGAGCTCTTTGAGGATGGTACAAACCATCTTAGCTCTCTGCTGATCAGCTGATAAGGGTTGTACCCGTGGGCCAGTTGTGCCTTCTCCTTGCTGAGCTGAATTTGGAGAGGTAGCCATGGATAGCGAGTCCAGGGCATTTGTCATTAATGTCCCATGGCTTCCATGGGTAATTGGAAAAGATCTACAGGGAGGAGGACATGCTGGTGATGAGTTGCTGTGCTGGGGCATCCTGACCACTTCCTCCCCGGTAATAGCATAAATGCCTACAGCCAGGAAACTGTCTCAGCCTCAAGGGACTCTGCTGGGTGGTGAGGATCAGGTGTCCTCTTCCTTCTGGCAGGGGCGTGCTCTTGGCTCTACCAGCTGGCTGCTGTTCCCTTATGCTATTGTTATATTGATAATATCTAGAGCAGACTCTCTTAAGGAGGCAGGCCATGCTAAACAAAGAATTAAAAATGTGCACATTATACAAAGCAAGTGAAACTGCTTCTGTGGGTTGATAATTTATATTCAGTTTGAGAGTATTTTAATGAATCACAATAGCATGTACTTTGAATAAAGGATGCTCAGTCTTTTTTTTCTTCTCAGGTAAAGTACATGAGACTCTTGCTTAAATGAGGCATGCAATTTTAATCAGTTGGGCCCTTAAAAAGAAAGAAAAACAGCTGCTACTTGTTAATTGGCAAATATCTTCTCCAATGAGCTCATGATTTATTCACTGCTTTTAATAAAGACTTAAATTCCACCAAGAAAGGTGTTATCACCACATTATAGTATCTGTAGGCACATCTGCAGCTAAATGACCCTCTTAGAGAACATGAGCGATGGCTTCCCAAAGACCACCCTGCCTTCTCCTTGTAGGTGTTCTGCTCACATGTCACCGACCGTTGAGGTCCTCCCAGCTCAGACAGCATTCATGAACACCCTCATCCTGGGCAGGATTAGTCTGATACTGGTACTCAGGGCAAACACTGGAAAAAATCCCCCACAAAGGCCTGCCTTTTTTTTTTTTTATATATATATTCAATCATACTTACTGATGGCATTCCCTTGGGGCAGGCCCACAAAGTCTTGAAGGATTTGGAGGTGGGAGGAGTGGAATATTCTGCTCACCCTGGAATTTCCTCTGTTCTTTGTGGCCCCAGCCTATAGTGGGAGTAGGAAGCATTGGTGTGCACTGCACACAAGAGCCTTTTCATTTCTTTTCTGCTTCTTTGTTGATTCATGTCAACTGTGTGGATTTTCTGTGCCTCGGTTGATTCATAAGGTTTCTTGTGGTAATCCTCAGTTCTTTGTCTTCTGGTGATGGTGTGATGCGGGCAAATGAGTTAATGCTGGGAAAGTGCTCACACCTCAAATGATAGTTCTTACTTCCTTTTGCTGAGATTGAGCAGGCAAAGACTGATGGCCAATCACGTTTTCCTTCTCTTCTGTGAGATGTGTGTTTGGCCTCAGAATAAGTTGTGAAGTGCTGATTACCTCTTGCGGAAGCTGAACAGGCAGTACATTTAATTTGATTGTATCACAACATCAAAATGCTCTGGTTTTTGCCGCAAACAGTCCTCAACATGTTAGTATGACACAGACTTACTTTGTTTTCCAACATTTGCACGCTGCAGAGCTTCCTGGTTAGAATGTGCTAGGAAGCGCCCCCACCAGGAGAGGCCTGCTGTTCAGGTAAGATGGATGATGTGGAACTGAGGGGACAGTGCATAGATGTAGTGAGATGATGAGACCCTGCGTGTGCTCTTGGAACTTTCCTTAAGATGGCAGTTAGCGCTTTTCTGAAGCTTTTTAGTTATCACCTTTGAGTCAATACTTTTTTTTTTTTCCTGGGAGGATTATTGTACTTATTTAGGGTGTCAATTTGTATAAAAATTATAAAAAAAGAATGATTTACTTAATTTTAGTTATTAATATTATTTTTAAAAATTTGCTTTAGAGCACTTGTGCTCACCAAAGAGAGAAAGAGGGAGACAGAGAAAGTGAGAAAGCAAACTACCGGGTTTGGGACTCAAACCATGGTTGATCACGTGGGAGTCCAGCATGTTAACCGCCACCTACATGCTGGTCCCTGTATTCAAAGTTTAATAAGGATGGAAGCATATAACAAATTGGGCAGATACCTCAGGACTTATTAAATAC